ATTGAAAAGTAGGCGCCGCCAGCACTTCCAGACCTGCAGCAAGGCAAGGCTGCAGCTGCATTGGAAGGTAGCTCAACACCACGCGGCTTCGCATGACATTCGCGAGGGGACCACTGACCTCGTGGACAGCCTGGGGAAGCACAGCGCACTGCTTCGGCCCAATCGTACACAGCACATTGGAAGACTGCAACCGAGAGACTAGCGTGCGGAGCCGATGGCGCTCCCTCTGTAGATGCATCATCTATCGTAGCGCCGTCTACCAGGCCAAAGTCTGCGGCTGCTTGTAAGTGCGCCTCAGCGGGGGCTTTGTCTCCATGTGAAGCGAGGGGGCCCAGCAAGCCCAGAATACCGTAGCGCGGTGGCCCCAACCTGATCATATTTGTTAATCAACTCCCGCTCAACCCCGCAGATGAGGGAGCCGATGTAAGCAGCATGCCCTTGCGCGTCGGTCACACCTGCAAACAACTGAGTATCCCATTCATAAGGGTATCGCGAGCAACCAGGCGGTGCCGCAAGAGGCAACTCCTTGGGCAGCTCGGGAACCTGCCTCCAGATATGCACATCCTGCGCCATCATCCGTAAGTGAACTGGACAATGTGGGGACAATGTAGAGCCCTCGTCGACGTGCACATGCGTAGCAACTCTGGATGCCGGTTTCATCGACGCGGCGAAATAGTCAAGCACAATGTTTGGCGTAGCTTGCCGACAGGGGTGACAGGGAAGAAATGGGCGGCTGAGGCAGCGGTGACACACTTCGAGCTGAACAGGGCAGCGGGGCCATTGATCCAGTCACCTCCCACAAGCCAGTCATGGCCTTCACTGTAGGGCTTCGCCAGTGCTTGAACCATTGCCCACAGATATGCAGCGCTGGTGGGGCCCATGCCACCCGTAGTACCCAGATAGACACTGCAAGCAGTGAAACGTCCAGGTACCCCCCCGTGAATATGAGCAAATCACAGCCTTCCTGGAACACCTTCCTGCTCAGGAAAATCTGGAGCCGGAATCATGATATCAGTGGGCACAAGAATGGCAACGCTTGCAACCGAGCCCGTAGCCGACGTCGGGCTAGGTGTAGCGCAGGCCCGTAGCGCGTGCCAACCGAAGTCCCGTGCCTGGGATTGCGCCTGCGCTGGACGATCTGGCAGCGCATGATGCTCCTGCACAAGCAGCACCCTTGCCTGCTGCACCGTGGGAAGGTACTCAAACACGCCCCCCCCCCTCCCGCGATACCGGATCCCGCCCACGCTGCGCAAGGCAGCGGCACGCTTCCCGCTTCTCGCGCCAGTAGCGACCCCCGAACTAGGACCCGCGGCACCGCCGACGGCAGCGCCGACAGCCGTCTTCGCACGGGGGCCCGTGGCACTCGGAGGGCCCACGGGCCTCGGGAATGCCGCTTCCTCCGCAGCCGCGCCAGAAGCCTGAGCGACCGCTGGGGCCCCTGATTCACGTGGCGACCTAGTGCGTAGTAGCCGCAATGGCACACTAGGTCTTTGCATTTCAACACCTTCCAGCACGCGTGACGACTTTGAGCCTAGTAGCCTTGGTGGCAGACTAGGATGTTGCACCCTCACGCCAGATTCCAACAACTGAAATGGACCTCCAGCTGGACACTGGTCCACTTGTGGCGACCTCTGCGGCTCCGTCGGAGCCGCGAGTGCACCGCTCGACGCCGATGTCCCAGCCGAGGCCGCCATCTGTCTCGCAGCTGTCCCAAGCCCAGGGGAGGAACGCCCCTGGCCATCTGGGGGGGGGGGGGGGCATTCGTAGGCCACCTCGAAGAAGATGCCAACCCCGAAGCCGTAGGACGTGTGGGCAGAGGGGCGTGACTTCCAGGAGCTGAATCCCTGCCCCCTCTGCCCAGAACATGTTCGTCATCTCCGAAACCAAGGGATGTAGGAGCCGACGCGTGGGATACCATGACCAGGTGCGCGACGACCACATCCAAGGGATCATCTGCCTGCTCATGCTCCGTAGCGGGTCGCCGGGGACGTGGCAGTTGGCGTGCATCTGGTGCGTCAGGTCCAAGCATGCGTCGGAACATGTTTCGAACTTCGGCCAGTGCCTGCCAGTGGCGGAGCTCCAGTCGTCGACGTTCGTCAGCGCCCGAACTCGCCATCCTCATAAACCAGGCTTCGCGGCGCCACTCAGTTTGGCGCCAGGCCGCCTCGCACAGCTCCTGCAAGATAGACCCCGAAGCTTGGCCAGGAAATCAATTTGCCAGCAGCCGCAGCAGGAGGGGGTCGTTGCCCCCGCGTGCCAACATCACTGACAAGAAAGCCTGGCATCACTCCACCCATTGAGAATTGTCATCTGGGTGCTGTAAATAGTTCTCAAACCAGATGGCTGCCCATTCCCTCGCGTCTGCTCTCAGGGCGGTGTAGTCCTGTGCCGCAACAGAGCGTTCGGGGGTCGGGGGTCGCCCCATATCAGTGGGCTCTTGCTCAAGCTGCAGAGTGTCATCAACCAACGAGGCCTCGCCGTCCCTGGCGCCAGCACGATCGCCACGCAACCCAGAGAAGTCATGCATGTCGAACCCAGGGTCAGCGCACAACTGCTCAACATCGTCGCCGACATCAGAAGGCACGTGAAAGCGAAGTCCAGCCATGAGTTGTGCTGTCATAGGTTCAAATCGCATCCTTAGGACCAGCGCTAGAGCCAGTGCGCATCTTCTTCGAGAAGAGCAGCTTGGAGGACTCGAGCTGGCGCTTGGCTTGCGTGAGGTCCTCCAGATCCATGTCTTCGGGCACAGGAATATCAAAGGCCGTCTGAGTAGCCGAGACATCCACGCCAGAAGGAGGTTTCTGAGCCTGCTTCTGCTGCTGCATGGCCCGCTGCACCCCCAGGTGGTCGTCTCTCGCCTTCTTGACTGCCTGAATCCATGGCTGAACATAGTACACACAACTAGCAGCCAATTGTTCACTACCGGCCAACAGTTGCACAATAGCCTGTAGTTGCTCCAAGTTCGCAGAGAAGGCCTCGAAAACAGTTGTGTCGCAGGCTGAGGTGGCACCAACATATTGCAGGTGTCCTCTGACGTAACAGCTCCATCTGCTCGAGCTGCAGCTGCACCCGCGCGGTTTCTGTGTCACCCAGTTGCTGCCAAAGATCTTGAACCAACTTCTGCTTTTCAGCCAGACGCTTCTCCTCAGTCTCGATCGACAATCTGAGCTTGGCAATCTGCTGGTCAATACGCTGGAGCTTGTTGCCATGCACTGGGTGCCCAGGGGCTTGGACGCAGTAGTCTCCTGGCGCAGCTGCTGAACCAAGGCTGCAGCCTCAGCATAGCCAGAGACGGTACAAGGCTCCACACCTTTGACCTTGGCAGCCAGCTCCAGCGACGCCAATACACCTTCACAAGCTTCCAACTCCTTTTGCTTCTTCTGCAGCTCAGGGCCACTTGCCGAGTCAGTCTGGGGCTGCGACTCCGGAGCATCAGCCTCATGCGACTTGGACCGAGAAAGCTGCTGAACCTGCTTGCGGAGGGCAACCAATTCCGTCTCCTTCGCCTCAGGAGCACGCGCAGCGCCAGCACCGGTGGCAGAAGGAGCACGTTGACTGGGCACAGGAGGAGCCAGATCACACTTGTAGACACGACCTTTAGCACCACCACAAAGAAAGCAAGAAGCAGCATCTGCATGGTCATGCCAAGGTTCGCCCGTTTTCGGCCGCCCTCTCCCTGGCAGCGCGGCCAGCAGGCGGTGCCATGGCGGCAGCAGACAGGTAGTGAAAGACGCAATGGTCAGAGAATCTCACGTATGGCTACCTGGGGCGGAGGAGGGAGAGAAGGAGGAGGAAGAGGAGGAGGAGGAGGAGGAGGAGGAGGAGGGAGGAGGAGGATGAGGAGGAGGAGGAGGAGGAGGAGCAGCAACAGCAGCAGGAGGGGGAGGATGAGGGTGAGTAGGAGGAGGAGGAGGAGGAGGAGGAGCAGCAGCAGGAGGAGGAGGGGAGAGGGGGGCATCTCCGCTGGGCCCCGCCCGGTGATCGCGGCTCGGCGCGCACTGGCAGGATCGGGGCCAACGCGACGTTGACCACGCCGGGCGGCCTGGAGTACCAGCGGCCGCGGGCTTGGGGCCTCCCCAATCCCTCCTCATAGTTACGTAGTCATACCAGGCATGCATGCTGTCGTTGCGCGATGATGTTTATATTGTTCTAGTTTCACTGCGTGCTGTAACTTAATGGATTCACTTGTGCTGGTGATTGTTGGGTGTTTCGGCCCCACCCTGCGGCACCCTCGCGATGCAGGCCGATGTCTGATGTCCCGCCCCGCCTTCTTGTTCCTCCTCTTGGTGCGCCGAATTGGTTTGCGAGCGTTCTCGGCGGTTTTCCGGCCTCGGGGTGCATTCAGCAGTTCCGCCTCGCCCAGAGGGTTCGGGGGGGAGCCGGATCGTCCCGAACGGCCGCCAGAGAGCTGGGCTTCGACCCCAAAATCGAAGGGCAACGACGATATGATTTGTTCAACCTAGGTGTTTTTCATCTTCCTCTTCTTCCTCCTCCTCCTCCTCCTCCTCCCAGGCCGTTTCCCGTTCCTCCTGATCCTGTCTCTCTCTCTCTCTCTTTGTCTCTCTCTTTTCCTTCTCTCTCTCTCTCTCTCTCTTTCTTCCTCCTTCTCCCCCATGATCCTCCCTCCCCATTCATCTCGTCCGTTGATCGAGTTGCTCGGGGAATCTGGCTCAAAGCTTGCAGCAGATCGAATTTGGCCAGGAGACAGCGGAGATCACATGTCTGAGTTTGTGCGCTTCCGACCTGGTCGAGAAATCCAGAATCCCAGAGCCCCTCCCCTCTCCCCTCCTCCTCGGAGGACGGTGAGGCGAGACCACCACCTTCACCACCAGGGGGGCACCTCCCGCGAGGGGGTCCACGATGCCTTCCCGAGCTCGGGGTTAGGGGACGTCTCGAGCGGGAGAGGGGGACCACATCACCAGGGGGACCCTCCTCTTTGCCCCCCTCCTCGTCCTCCTTGTCACGCGTCCTCCTCATCATTATCCTCCTCGTGTTTCCGTAGCCCTTTTGGCTCAAGCGGCTGCGGGCCAGGTTCTCGCATTTCTGCGTCGCGGCGCACCTGTTCTGCACCCCTATGGCGGACCCGAACGGCAAGGAGGCGGGCCGGAAGTTCCTGGAGGAGAACAAGAGCAAGGACAGGGTGGTGACTTTGCCGTCTGGCCTGCAGTACAGGGTGCTCAGAGAGGGGCGCGGCATGGAGCACCCGCTCGTCGGCACGCCCTGCGAGTGCCACTACGCGGGCAGGCTCCTCGACGGCACGGAGTTCGACTCTTCCTACAAGCGCGGAGCCCCCACGACCTTCGCCCCGAACCAGGTCATCAAGGGCTGGACAGAAGCGATGCAGCTGATGGTGCAGGGCGACAAGTGGGAGATGTACATCCCCTACGAGCTGGCGTACGGCGAGAGCGGGAGTCCGCCCAAGATCCCCGGCTGCGCGTGCCTCATCTTCGTCATGGAGATCATGAAGATAAAGGGCGCGACGAAACCAGCCGAGATCACTTTTCCAGAGTGGACGGATGACCAGCTCAAGCTGTGGGAGGAGAAGGACGAGAAGTCGCTCGTGGACTGGCGCGAGGCCAAGGTGAAGGAGTGGGAGGACCCGGAGAATAAGCTGAGGGAGAAGCACCCCTCGCGGGAGGAGCTGGACTCCTGGATGGAGAGGCAGTGCACGACCGCCAAGAACAAGTCCCTCTGGAAGCGAACCCGCAGGAGCTACGAGTGAGCCGCAGGCCGCTGCCCCAGGGGCACGGCGCGGCCCCTCTCCTCGAGCCGGCTCCCCGTGCCTCTGCGCCCGCAGCTGCGCGTGCTCCTCCTCATCCCGCCGGCACTCCTCCCTTCCGGCGCTCCTCCTCCTCCCCTTTCTCCCTGCCCCGGGCCTCCCCCGCCGCGCGCTGTCTCCCAGCACCCCTGCGCGCAGCACAGACCATCGGAGGATTGCGGTCCAAACAAAAAAAAAAGGAAGGCATGATCCTCCTCGTGCGCCCCTCCTCTTCCTCCTCCGCCCCCTCCTTGCAAGGACGCTGCATGTCTAGGGACCAGGACCTCACCGCCTTTCGCGTGGATCGCCGTTGGATGCATGATTGCCCTTGAGGGGGCAGCAGGTGCCACGGTTTGGCGTGGAGATCGGCAGGGACGTGGTGAGTACAGCACGGACGGGCTGCGCGAGCGTTCCGATCCAGGCGCGCTTGATAGCACACCACACAGAATAAATGAGTGCCCGTGTCATGCCCAGCTCGACCCCTCCTGGATGGTGCGAACCCGGAAGCTTTGCGATCGAGCCTGCAGTGGCCTGGATGTCTGCCACAACGAGTCCCTCTGGATCCATGGGATCGTGCCCCGGTCCCGGCATCAGTTCCCAGACGCCCCTGCTCGGGGAGAGACCTCAGAGGACGGCGAGCTCGTGTTGTCGATGCGCTGTGCCCAACCCTCGGCCCCTGTGGACTGCGAAAGGAAAGTCACGTCCAGGTGTAGGGGTAAGTCGGGCCTGTCCCTCTGCAGGAGGAATATTCAAAAATTAAAAAAATAGTCCGCGGACGACTTGTGGACAAGTTTTTGACCATTTCTGGCTATTGTTTTTAGCTGTTCTTGAATTTTTCGCCCAAAATCGGCTGGCAGGGGAAGAACATGCCCGACCTGAGAGTGTAGGGCTCGGGCGGCCCATCTCGATGGTCCTGGCACGTCGGACCCCCGGACCTGCCGTGCGGGCCGCGGCGTTCTCCTCCTGCAGTGGCCTGACAGCCCCTCCTCGCCCGCTGGGGGCCTTGGACCTCCACCCGCTCTCGGGGTGGTACACACTGTTCATTGCTAATTCTTCGAAGGTTGTTTTGATTTCTGGGGGAGGCCAAGATCCTTTCGTTTCTAATTGTTCTATCCTGGGCTTCTTCCTGGCCGCTAGGAAGCCAGGAACAATTCGAAGCGACCACAATTAGACATGAGCACGATTAGGGGGGAAACCGGTTTGGCTGGGATGATATGATTCCAGATTCAGGATGGACGAGTGTGCAGTGTATATATATATATATATGAAATCGTACTACCCCAGGGGGAACCGATAAGTCCGAGGGGGGGTCGAGTCTACTTTCTTTTTAGAAAGGAGAATACATGTGATGCAATCCATTTTGGGGGGGAAAAAGGCAAAGCAATGCAACGCGATGAAAAGCAATGCAAATCAATGCAAATCAGTGCAACGCAATGCAAAGCAATCCAAAGCAATGAAATACAGAACTATGCAAAGCAATGCGTGGCGACGGGTGACCGTATGCCGCACGAACCTCCACTCGGGCTCAGTTACCAGCGGCGACGACTGCGGCGACGGGTGGCCATATGCCGCCCAGACCGCCATTCAGGCTCAGTTGCCCTAGAGGACAAGTAGGAACCCCTAAGCGCAAGCACTGGTTGGGGACATAGAATTCAGAAAGGCTTCATTCCGAAGCCATGTCAGTCCTGGCTTACACACCCAAGGCAGAAGGCTCGGAGTGCTCAGTGGGCACCACTGGGAAGAATTCGTTTCCTCTGAAGTCCCGCAAGCAGTGATCCTTCACTGTGGGGTGAGCATAAGCCAGCTGTGTCCTTTTCGAAACTGACTAGTCATCTACCGTAATCTCGACCGTATTCACCACCTCCTCCTCATCCTGTAATCCTTCCCGACATCCTCGCTACTCTCGCGTCCCTCACCCCCTTCCCCTTCATCCCCCTGCCCCTCCCTCCACCCCGCAGCCCCCTCCTCCCCATGCCGCTTCATCCCACTGCCCCTTTGCCCCCCTCCCCGCCCCCCCGTTTGGCGGAGGAGGAGGGAAGAGGGGGGATCGGGGAGGAGGGAAGACGGATGGTCGGATTGGATCGGCCTTCCGCGAAAGCAAAGCGCACGACCTTGACAGCCGGGTAGGTGCAGAGCTGTGGCCGCACAGCCCAAAGCGCCCGCAATGCGGGCTCAACTGATCTCCCAAGCATGAATCGAGGGGTAAGGCAACAAGGAGGAACAGAAAGGGGGCCGAGAACCCTTTTTTGACTGATTGGACCTCCCTCCCTCGTCTTCCCCCCACCTTGTTGAAGCCGCCGCGGTCGGCGGCGCCCGCATAGAACTATATCACGTCGCGTGCTGCACGCGGCGGTGGGCAGGTGGGGGCGCGTCGGGGGGTCGGACGTGAAGCATGTTGGAGAACGAACCGTATGCGCCTGGACTCCTCGACACAACAACTAGCCTGGCGTAGGACCCGACCATATGCAGTTGTGGGTGATGCAATTCTAAGCATCGTCTTCGGTGGAGCTCCCTATGGGGCCACGAAATAAATGAGCCGAAATGTGGAGGGGGGCGCGTGAGGATGATGCCATTGTGACCTGAGGGGTGTGCCGAAGTGGGTGACGGGGATGCGTGCGAACGGTGCAACTGGGACCTTCGTTGCAGCTCCCTTCGGGGCCACGAGACGTGTGAGGGGTGTGCCAAAATGGGTGGCGGGGACGCATGCGAACTTCGCCACTGGGACCTCCGATGTAGCTCCCTACGAGGCCACAAAACGTGTGAGGGGTGTGCCGGGATGTGTGGCAGGGACGCATGCGGACGGTGCCATTGTGACTTGCGGTGGAGCTCCACATGGGACCAAGAAGGGTGTGAGGGGCGTGCCGAAATTGGTGGCGGGGGTGCATGCGAACTGCGCCACTGGGACCTTCGATGGAGCTCCCTACTGGGCCACGGATCGTGTGAGGGGTGTGGCGACATGGGTGGCGCGCATGCAGACGGTGCCATTGTAACCCTCGGTGGAGCTCCTAGTGGGGCCACGAATCATGTGAGAGGTGTGCCGAAATTGGTGGCGAGGACGCATGCGGACGGTGCCACTAGCACCTTCGGTGGAACTCCTGATGGGGCCGCGAAACGTGTGAGGTGTGTGCCGACATGGTAGACTGATGCGGAGAGCAGAAGTAAAGAGGGGGAGGAAAGGGGGGCAGCGGGAGGAAGCAAGGAACGCAGGGCGCTGTCTCTTCAAAACGAGGACCCAGCACCGCAGGATGCTTTGGGAAAAAACGCTACAGCGGACGTCATGGAACATGCAAGGTAAGAAGACAGAGGAGAAGGGAGGAAGAGCGAGGATGGGGAGGTCGGAGAGAGGGGGGGGTAGTGGAGGAGGAAGACAGTTTTCAAATGCCTTCTGCGGTCTTCTGAGTTCTCCGGCTGCGTTCGGAGATGTTCTGCCGGCGTTCGTGTTGTCTTCCTCCTCTTCCTCCCCCTCTACCCGCCCTCTCGATCTCCATCTCTCTCTCTCTCTCTCTTTCTCGCTCGTTCTCTCACGATCCCTCCCTCCTCTCGCTGTGTGTATGTGTGTCTCTGTCTCTCCCCCTCCTCTTTCTCTCTTGTTGTTGTTTCTCGCTCTCTCTCTCTCTCTCTCTATCTCTCTCTCTCTCTCTTTCTCTCGCTCTCTCCCCCTCTCTCTATATTTATGTGTGTATATAGATATGTGTCATATGTGTGTTACATACGTCTATATATATATATATAGATCGCTGTCTCTCTTTCTCTCTGACTCTCTCTCTCTCTCTGGTTATCCTTCTTTCTCCCTAAATATTTTAGCGCGTGAAAGTATATATGTCTACCTCTCTCTCTTTCTCGTTTTCTTTTATTTCTCTCTCTCTCTACTTTAATTGCACACGAACATTTCTATACGTCCGTATGTGAAGGCATGCATCCATGTTTATAAATATTAAGTATATGTAAGATTGTGTGTGTTGCTCCACAGATATGTGTATGTGTATCTGTGTTTGTGCATACGTGTATAACTACAGGTGTGTGTATGCATCGACAAGTGTTAGACGGGTACATGTACACATACATATACATAAATATAAATATATATATATATATATATATATATATATGTACATGCATATACTTTATACTATACCTCTGTCTTCACCCGAGGAGGAGGAGAAGGATAAAGAGAAGGAGGAGGAGGAGGAGGAGGAGGAGGAGGAGGAGAGTGCTCGATGGCTCCCGAAGGTCCCAGGGGCTCCCCTGGGGGTGCCCTGGGGGCCCTAGCGCCCCTCCCTCGGCTCCCGGCGGCTGGCGGCCAGGCTGCTGGAGCCGATGGAGAACGGCACCAAGAAGTTGTTCGGGCCGCCCGATGACCCGCCCAGGGTGGGGTGGCCGAGAGGAGGAGGAGGCGGAGGCGGAGGCGGAGGCGGAGGAGGAGGAGGAGGAGGAGGAGGAGGAGCAGGAGGCGGAGGAGGAGGAGGGAGGAGGTGGAGGAGGAGGAGGAGGAGGAGGGAGGAGCAGAAGGAGGAGGAGGGCCTGCTCGACGCCCCGTCGGGTCGTAGGTGGGATGGTGCCGTGTGAGTTTTCTGGTCCAGGCATCCTTGCTTCTCTGGCCCATCCTGAGCCAATGTTGGCGTCCAAGGAGCTCTGAATGGTAAGTGGGACTTCCATGCGTCCTGCATCCTCCCCGTGCATCCTCATATTGGCCGTATCGAAAATCCTGAACCTCGCGTGTCTAGCAAGGGGCACCGCGCTCTCGGAGGACGGGTGGTCAGGAGCTCCTGGGGGCTCCCGCGCCTCGCGAGCGGGGGGCCACGCTTGCTCGAGTTCGGAGGTCGGGAGTCGCGAGGCTCGTGCGCTTGCGTTGTGTCGGGTTCTCGTCGTCGTCCTCCTCCTCCCCCTCTTCCTCCACCCCTGCTCCTTGTAAATGAGACAACTCCTCCCTGTCGACCCCTTTAGTTGGACGTGGGCTGACGACTAGCCTCAGCTCCCTGCAAAGCCGACGAGCGGCGAGGGCCTGAAAGGCCGAAAGGGACGAGGGACGGACCCAGGACCCAGGGCCCAGAGACAGGGCCGACCGAAAGGACCGACAGAAGGACAAGGGACGGAAAACCACGAGGGCCACAGTCAGCAAGGCCAGAGACACCGGCGGCTAGCAAGCTCCAAACCTCTCCGGAGTTGCACGGGAGAGGAGCATCTAACAAGAGAGAGAGAGAGAGCTAATCTACAACATGAAGACAAGTCATCACCCATCACGACATCAGATGGTGCGCTTGGCACAAAGTCGAACAGATCTACCGCACGGCTCAGAAGGCTCAGAGGGGCGAAGGAGTTCGGAGCAAACTTGAACCCAGCGTTTCCACGAGGAGCCAGCCAAGCAGTCGCCACCGCCTGGCGGGCCTTCCACTAGTCCGCCCCACTGACGGTAGAGCGTCGGACGGGAATTGTTTCTCGCATACCTCCGCGGGGCTCGACACAGGCATCCTCGGCATGATCATCTTGGCGACGATCGCCTGATAGAGAAGGTTCATCAGGTTGAAGACCAGATTCACCAGGAAGGTCTTCATCATGAAGCTCATGATCGTCAACAGACCGACCAGAAGGAACACCAGGATCAGCAGGG